AGAAAATCTGTGAAAAAATCTGGTTCCTCTGACTCGTCCTAGTACTCTTAATGGCATTTGCAAGAATACACCGGGCCTGAACAAAAACAAGCAATCAGAGCCTATAAAGATAGCTGATTGTTGAGTCTCATTCCCAGGTTGTCAAATACAGACGCTCTGGGACCCTTGGAATGAGATACAACAATAAACTACCTTCAAGCCTCCAACCCGAAGCGTCTTTATATCATTCTCAGCTCTGATTGGTATTTTTTAGAAAAGTTACCTACTGCAGCTTTAACCTATTATTTGTTTTTAAGTTATATTAACATAAGTCACAGACAGGAAACAATAACCCAGAGGAATGACATATTGTATTTAAGACTCAAAGCTCAAAATGTATTAAAGGGAACCTATTATGCTAATTTCCAGCTCTATATTCTAAGCTACTCTATATATTCTCCATAGAGTAGCTTTGCATGATTCATTCTTTAAAAACATCTTTATTTATCACGCTTTCTTTTTAAAAAACGTTCTAACGAAGGAGATGTATTTTTTGCCAACCTTTTTGCCCAATTTATATATATATATATATATATATATATTTAAAATTACTTTTTTGTAAGAGGGGCATTTTAGAGGAGAGGTAGATTTAAAAGGTCAGGCTTTAGAAGTTGAAAACTGAGTCTACTGAGTGGAACCAACTACAGTGGTCCTTTCAGAGGAAGGAATGCTCAGACAGCTTGTGAGCACCAAAACAGCTGGACTGGATTCACTCAAGTGCCTTAAAAGAAGAGGACCATTCCATTAAGAAAAGTGGTAATTAAAGTGTTATTTATGGTGTCTGCAGGAAAAAAGTCTCCTGGTTAAGCTTCTTAAGGAAGGACATTAAGTAATATGCTAAAGAACCCAGACTGAATCCTGTTTCTGCTAATCTGTATGTCAGATTAGAAACACTGGAAGTAAAATAAAACCTTCTTGTTGCATGGAGCTTCCAGTTATAAGCTAACCTTTGTAGCTTAATAGGGAAAGGTTGCATTTTTTTCAATTTGTGGCAAAATTTCTACAGGCTTTACAACTGCCTCTTTAACTGTGTATTATAATATAATGTTCTACTGGAACAGAAACACCAGTATGATAAGCAAAGACAGTTAGAAACGGAGTGACCGAAATAATTTTTTTGTATCTCTTTAAAAACATCTCAAGCTTTGACAAAGATATTGTGGTCTATAGCAAATATTTAAAGCCTTTCCATTTAATTTTTTTAGAAAACGTAAAAAAACATAACATTTTTATCCTCAAGTGTTGCTGTTGTATAAACCTAACCATACCCATCATACATATCAACCATCATTTATTTACCCTTGCAACAGTCTTTACTAAACCTTCCCAGGTGTGATGTGCAGTTATCAAAGAAAGACTGAATATTGAATATCGTCCAACATAAACAGCATGTCACTTTTCATATAATTTCAACTGGTTGCAGTGTTTGCGGCTATATGAATTCGGGTTTCTACTTACCACTGATCCATTTTGCCTCAGGATCATGTATTTGTAAGCTTCTTTGAAAGAGGTCATCCAGCGTCAACTGTGAACCAAAGCGTTTACCATCATCATCTGTAGGAAGAAAAAACACTTTTAGTATATCAACTGTCAAAAAGTTTTTTTCTGAATATGATAAAAGGTTGAAGAGAAATCACAGGGTAAATCAAAATTATAGATATTTAATCACATTTTCTTATCCTGCATACAAACCACACAGAGAAGGAAAATGGTCAAGGGAGGCATGTGGACAAGTATAGGCATAACTAGCCCTACTGCAACCAAACAAAGGTACATTTTTGATTCAGCTCAGACAGACCTGTGATTACAAATTTTAATTAAGGCAGAACAAGCTGAATAGTTTGCAGCATTCATGCAAACTGTGAAAGGATGTTGCAAGGAAGCCTCACCTTTAGACAGCAGAACAATGGACAGTCCAATGAGTGAGAGCACCAACATAATAACCAGCAGGGAGATGCCAATGCCCTTCCAGTTTTTATCCTGTCCAATAGCTCCAAGGTCCTACACAATAAGAGAAATAAATAATTTAAGTAATCATGAATCATGTCAATAATATATGCCAAAATAGCAACACACAGGAAAGAAATGGCAGATGATTTTGATTTTTTGAGTAAGTAAACACGTGAGGTATTAAGCATCTTCCCCCAGTGCAGCAAGCTGCTGAAGTGTCCTTGAGCAAGACAAAGTACTTGAGCCATTTGTGCAAGAGTTGACTGTGACTGTGCATAAATCAAGGCAGATTAAAACATTTAGTGTGAGTTAACATAATGTACAGAATTAATAAAACACAGTGCCATGTGATAATGACCACTCACACACGGATGAATATGGATGCTACTAGTCACACAGCTGTGAATGAGCCATGTGATTGTGAAGCATGTATGAAGCATCTGATGACAACAGACTTCAGGTCAGCTCTTACAGTGCCGGGTGCTGCCAAGTCATCCAACTGCTCCTCAGGAATCAATAGAAAATCCCTAAAACCCCTGATGATGTGGGCTGACATTAGACATTATTCATATTTTGTTGATATTGGCTTTACTTCCTTATTGATTTCCCACAGACAAATCCAGGTTTTTAGAAAAGTACTTCCAATATCTAGAAAAGTATGTAATAAACATTTAAGGCGATATAATCCGGCAAAGACTATAAAGCACTGACTTGATAAGACTTAATAAGTAAATATGTCTCCTTTAATATGTTATTATTATATGTTTTGTATGTATATATTAGTGCATTCATATCTACCCATTACTGTTTACTCTTTACATATGCACATTACCCTGCACATTACTGCTTTTTGCACTTCTGGTTGGATGCTAAACTGCATTTAGTTGTCTCAGCACCTGTACTGTATGTAGTACTTTCTTTCTTCCCCAGGATGCAATCATGATCCGCCCTACTCTGCCTCTGATTGCTTTACTCTGACATTCTTACCCTAACCCTAGCTCCTCTCACTTCTCATGACTAAACCTTTAACCAACCAAACAAATGACGGCAACGAGTACTAGCCAATCGGAACCAGAGTAGGGCGGTTCCTGACACCCTAAGAAAACAATTTGGCGTGAAGTACCTGTAAAATGAATAAATATATTTCTTTCAATTGCCAAAAAGTCATTCACAGACAAGGTAATGTATGTTATCCTATACATAACCTGGAACATAACATTAGAGTAGCCAGTAGCTCCTTCAAACTTGCTAGATATATATTTCTAGGCTTTGTTGCTGAAATCATAATTTAATTATTTCTGATTGAGGAGGCGTGCTCTTTGTTTACATCGATGATGTTTGATGCCCAAATGCAGTCGAAGTGGATGGCTACAGTTTCTTTTTATGTGAAGATCAAACCATATTACTATTACCTCTATCTTGTTGCTGCTGTTTACATTCCCCCAGACGCAAATTCAAAAGATACAGTATAGAATTATCTTTTTCAATGTGTGTAGCATGAAGGGACTGCAAACTTTCATTTTGTTATACGACCATGTGTTGTTTAATGATAAATGCATTTTCTTCCCTGATAAAAAATAAATAAAATAAATCTTGTTCAGTTGTTCTTGACTTTACTCAATGTTTTCCACATAATTCAGTAAACCCTTTTCTAGGAACAAACCCAGAAGGGTTGGAGAGTTGTAGCTGTTCTATCTGTGCTGTACTTGATGAAAGCTTGATGAAAGAACTGAACAGTTCTCTGGAGACCCGGCCCATTTTTAGATGTATCTCGAACTCTTTATCTTCCCGACATCAATTATGCAGCCTTATTTCATTTGCAGTGACAGAGCAGTGTTATAAATAAATCCATCTTGCTTACAGAGCCCCAAGCTCCTGAAAACCTGTCTGTGTATTTATGGATCTATTTGCTCTTTTAATTGGGAAGATGATTCAAAGACAAATATCCTGGAGCCTTGTCAACTCTACTACCCCCTTAAACCTCGTCCCTGTGGCTCCTTGATATTAAAATTCTGGATCTCTCACAAGAGAAACTGATTTTTTCCACAGTGAAGACTTGTCCTCTAGTCTTGATTCAGCATCATTTTGTTTGCGTTGCCTTCTCTGTTTAGCCTCGTTAACTAACGCAACCCTCATTACGCGTCGGGAACACTATTTGCCATTGTAATTTCTTCATCAGATCATTATTTATAGACCTCCAGTGATACACTGGGATGTCAGGCTGTTAAGTTCCTTATAGTGTACATTTGAATATCCTGGAATTCAGTGAATCTTGTCATCCCCCGCTGTGAAAATGTGTAACAAAGAGTTGTTCAAACTGGTATGTATCCATCTTTAAAAACAGCCAATTTTGAATATTCTGTTCCCAACCAAAGACAAATCAAATTCTGTTCAGTTTATCCAAAGAGAATGTGTGTGTCAAAAAACACTTTAACAAATCAATAAGCAATAAAAGTGCATCCTTTGCTGATCTGAGTTGATCAAGCAGTAGTGAAGTTCATTGGCTGTGATCTGTCTGCTGAGATCAGCCTAATGGAAATTATATTTGACAGTTCTTCATTGTATAGCCTTAACAAACAAAATTAGTTTGTAAAGTGCAAGTAATTGGTTCTCAGTATTATTTCTCAGGGAGACAAGACATTGTTTGGATTTGGTATGGATCCCAATGAATCCCGTTTCCCCAGGGTTTAAACTTGTCAGCAGCATTGCTTAAGGGGTTCTTGGTTACAAAGCATCCTACAGATACCAAATACAATGATACTGTATCTCACCTGCTAACTTGTCAAGCGAAGCAAAGCCTGTCCCAACACATGAAATTTCTGACACTTTTTCTCTTCTTTGTGATTTTACTTCCAGTGAAATGCACTCAACTATCTGTAGCATTGTGACAGGTGCTGTTTTGAAGATACACAGTTGCAGAAATGGAACTGCACAGAAAACAGGAAGTGTGCTGCATTATAGAGCAGCTAATCTCTGTCATAGTCTCCATCTGAAATGAAGCCTTCATCCCCACTGTGTGCTTTTGAATTCTGTTAGGGTGGGACCAGTGAACAATATTCTGCCACTCTAATCACAGGATTAGTTTCCAGATCAATTCACCAACAACATGCACAGGGTACTGTATGTTCTGGATAACACAGCTCGCAGGAAAACATGAGAAGAACCAAACCAGCTGGGAGACGGAAGCTGAACTAACTTCAAACACCTTTGTGTAACTTCACATGGCACAGAAACAACATACAGCAAGTATGTCCTCCAGGTCGAGAGCTTGAAGCTTGAAAGTTGCTGGTTTCTAAGTCTCATGCTCTTATCCTAGCAGAAATAGTGCTCACCGTGTGAGACCAATTAGTTCTTGTCGATCAGAATCAGGACTGCTTTCACGCATTCTCTTTTTCTACCCAGTTTTAAAATAATTCTGGCATTCGGTCTTATTATTCTATTATTCTTTGAAAATCACCACTACAGTAGACTATATAAAATACAAAGAATCATTCATCAATTAACGCAAATAACTAGGAGATGGCTAAAC